ATGTAGCTTGTCAGTTTGTCATTTTGTGGCAGGTTTTTTTTTTTATGTATTTGCGTCGCCACTCGGGAGGTGAGGAGCATCTCGACCTACAACATATTAATATCATTGTTTTGTAAATAATTAGTGGGATTGAGACAAATCATGTAGGGTGACTGCACCAGTAACAAACCGATTAAGCGACATTTTGAGAAATAATTTTTGATATTGTTACTCAATTATTACAACAATCACTGCAAAAAAGGATTACATACTCCTTGTCCACTATAGAATCATGGCAGCTTATTCCAATTTTCTTAATAGCTGTTTAGGTTTTCTTTTGACGTGATAACGTCTTTAAAATCGTTTACAGGTGACCGGTTCAGAAACTGTGTCACGAGCGAGGTCGATCGCAGGTATACCCCCCTCTCGTTATAACGAGAGAGAGACGAGACCGATCTCCCGTCTCCATCTCGAGCGCTGCCAGTCATTCCGAAAACTTACTTGGCGGTGACGCGGAATCACACGAGGCGGAGGCGGGCATAGCGTTCGAGTGAGTTGACCGATCTTCCGTCTCTCACTCTAGCGGCATACAAACGGAATGGAGATTTTCTCGTGCGGTTAGAGTTTCGTTGAATCTTTATCGGCCGATAAAAGTTTGTGAGTGTGCGGGGAGCCTATTAACAGTAAAACAAAATGTGAAGTGCAAGTGAGAGTGTTACAACAATTGCAAACAAAACTTATATCACCAATAAGACGTTATCACATGCAAACATCTCGATCGTAAACCCACTACTTTACAAACAACCATTTTTAAAGTAGAAAACTTCTTTGGAAGATATTAAACAGGTTTCTCCGTCTCTCTTCTTTGTACACGATGCTTCGTAGCTTCCCCCACTCAACAGCCTGGCGACCAAAACGAAAAATCTTACCGACAAAACCGTAATGCAACTAGGATTCGAAGGATAGCAGATGAAAGGACTGAAGAAGAACAAAAATTGCACGTGAAAAGCGCCGTGTTAGGTGTGACTCGACTTTGTGCTTCTCAATCCACAAGGAAACAAAGAAACGAGGCGGAACAAAGTTTGCCAGGTCAGCTGGCTAGTACAGTATGTTTATACAAAAGTATATTAATATTTGTATCAAAAAATAAAAAGAAAGAAAAGCAAAATAAAATAAATAAATTACCAAAGTATATATAAAATTAGTTAACCCGGCAAAACGTTGTTTTGTCATATATATTATTCTATTTTTCTAGATAAATTCTAGCGTGAATAAAAAGTAACTTACTTATTATAAGTGTCAGTATGTAAAACTTGATTAACTGAATAAAATATATTTAATAATTAATAGTTAATATAGGTTACACGGAGATAGCAATATGATAATTGTAAACGTTGCTACTACACTTGATACATATACTCGTACCATAATTGTTGGTAAATTGGCAGAAATGTATCAAAATTAATACTGTGTTATATCTCTGTAACATGCTACTACTAGCATACATAGTGAGGAAGAAGATTGGAACTAACCAAGAAATGTAATGTAAAAAGTATTGGAAATATATTAGTCTGTTGCTGCACATACACCCAAGTCATAATAATAATGATGGCCGAAAACTGTAGCAGGCAGTGAGTCCTCATTCCTTCTCATTCCTTCAGGCAGGTTGAAAAATAGTTAAATTACTAAAATGGCTACAAAAATAGGGGTTGGTGATAAAAGTAAATATTTAGGGATGTATGTATTTTTAATGCCACATTATAAAAAATAAAACAAACTATTTTCATCCAAAAATTTAACCACAAAAATAATGGGGTATGGTGTATGTATATACTTAGGAGTATGAAAATAGATAGTAGCCTCAGACACTGAATACGCATATAAAATTTGGTAAAATCGGTATATAGCCGTTTCGGAATGCGGTAGCTATCACTGCTTGACTGCGACACAATGTCTCATGTCAAAGTCTGTTATATGGTCAGTCAGTGGTGTTAATATATTTACTATTAATAAGCAAATAAGACAAATAAGATATATTTGATCTGAATTATATTATTCCCGTTATCACAGATTAGTATCATTTTGTTGTTAAAAATTTATTACTAGCACTTTATTTTTTGTTTTATTGTACTCGTGTGAACTTTTAATCGTATGTAAATGTTAATTATGTGTAAAAGTTGTGTTGGGGCGAAACCTGCGTAGCTTGTCTTCCCTGGTTCACAGAAGACGGTTGCCGATTTTTGCTTGCGATGCTCTCCGGCACCCGCTCTGACTGAGTTTAGCCGGTCTAACATCGCGCTCTAAGAAATTACAGTGATGTGGTGGATGAGAAAACTCTTGCTGATTTTAACCGTTTATTTCCGTGTTACTTCCACAAGAGCCCAAGAGCGAATGAATCCCACAAATCAAGCAAATGCAGATCCTGGGGACATTCCTGCCAACGCTGCAGGAACGATGCAGCTGCTGTCCGGAGCGAACTCGGAGAACAAAGCACACAATTGCAGCTGCTCCCCTGGCAGGTGCTCCGCCAAATGCAAACGACAACAATTCGCCGTGTCATCAGATTCATTTTGTCGGACTTGGCCGGGTACTGCCGCCCGCGCGGAAGGTTGATATCCTTCAATGATATTGCGCTTGTGGTAATGAGTTACATCGATTGTACATAAACAAATAAAATTGAAACAATTCAAAGTATAAAACATGCACTAATAGTAAAGATGCCTTAATGTCTAAAATATAGAAACAAGTAAGTGATAATATGTTTACATATGTAAATAACGCAACAATAAAAATTCACTTGGCGCAGTCTATTGGCAAAGCACACATATACTTGTCTGGGGCGTTTAATAATGCCGTCGACGTCTTGATTGTTGCGACGCTATACAATACCATCGGCACCAGGATGCACGCTTGCACACGGCCAAGCACCCATGAACATGTTGCGAAATGTTTCGTCCTTTAGAAGCACTAAATCACCAGTACGAATATTGTTTTGGAACTGCGTTTTCCACTTGGTGCGTTGCTGCTAACTCACACAAGTACTCTCTTGACCACCTTCGCCAGGGTGCTGGAGTAAACTGCTGCACTCGTTGAAATCTGCATAGCCTTGTTTCTGGTAGGTCGGTGAGGTCTTCATCCGGAGGTCCGCTTATTGGTCGACCAATTAAAAAATGAGCCGGAGTCAAAGGATTCAGGTCATTCGGATCATTTGAAAGCGGTGTTAATGGTCTTGAGTTTAGGATACCTTCTACTTGTATCAAATGCGTATTTAGCTCTTCGAAAGTAAGCGATGCGTTACCAACAACGCGTTTTAATGCTGATTTGACTGATTTTACACCCGCTTCCCAGGCCCCAAAATAGGGGAGAACGCGGGGAATAAAATGCCATTCAATATCCAATTCGTTCAGTTTTTACCTCTTCTTATAGAGTTTTGATTTGCAATATCAGATATAAATTTTCCGAGCTCATTTAACTCTCTTTGTGCTCCTACAAAATTCTTGCCATTGTCAGAATAAATTTGTGATGGTTTTCCACGCCTGCTACAAAACCGGCGCAAGCATGCAATGAATGCGGCAGTCGTTAGATCCGAAACAAGCTCTAAATGTATTGCCTTTGTGGCGAAACAGATAAATATGCATAAATAAGCCTTATGATTTTTGGCGCCGCGACCCTTCCTGTCCTTAACAATAAAGGGGTCCTGCGTAGTCAATTCCACTTAACCTGGAACGGACTACCAGGACTGATGCGTGTCTCAGGCAAAATCACTTACATCAATTGTTGTGATTTGGTTGGATTGCATTTAAAGCACGTAATGCAATTTCTTAATTTTGCGACATAAGCTTCTCCCAGATAGCGGCCAATATTTATTTCTAATAATTGCTTGCCAACAATGCGTGTGGACCGCAATGTAGCTGAACTTTTATGTTCTCTTTCCTAATATGAGTGTGGTTAATGTTGATTTGCTTTATGCAAGAGTATGGGATGACGTTTATCGAATGAGTAGGTTGAATTTCTTAATCGACCACCTACCCTTAATATACCCTCTGAGAAATGCAAAGTGGATTTAATGCCAGGATAGGCTTTCTTTGCATAGATTTTCTTTGTTTTCAATGAATGTATTATCTTTTCAAGTGCTGCAGTTGTGATAGCTTAACCAATGCAAGGTTGGCGTATTTTTAATTCATTTAGTTTGTAAGTGGACCAGAACGTTTGTGCGTTTGTTTTCCTTACAATTTGAAATAAACCTAAAACAATAACTGACAACGCGGCACAATTTGCTATGATCGGAATTATTTTTGAAAATGTCAAATTCTGAGATCACACTTGCAGCTGTAACATGTATTTACCTTGCACTGTTCAGTCTCGCAATCTGAAGATATTGAGAGTGGAATTGTATTTCCGATGGCCATTTATCAGCGTTACATGTTAAAAAGGTTGGCCCTGACCACCAAATGTTGCTTTTTATTAATTCCCTTGAAGTAACTCCCTTGTTATAAGATGGCAGGATTGTCAAAAGTCCTGACGTGTGACCATTTACCTATTTGGGAAATTTTTGAATTTCGGCTACCCTGTGTATTATTTTAACAAAGGTTTTTCCACTTATTTGCTTGATGCCGCTTGTGAGCCAATGCAGCACTTTATTGTTTGTATCACTCCAATAATATTCGGCGTCAAGGTAATTTGTAGAGTATTTCAATTTTCTAACTGTCAGTTTGGCAGCTGTAATAGCGCTCCTGAAGTTCTAACCGGGGTATAGAAGAAGATTTGTTTTAATGGAGCCACCTTAGTTTTGCGCAGAGTAAATTGATGTGTTAACATTACCTGCCTTGTTAACAGTTCTCACGTAAATGCGCTCCATATGCAACTTAGGACGCATCACAGAATCCGTGTAGTTCGATTGAATCATATTGGTCGCACATGATACGCCGATTTATTTTAATTTGATCAGGTTGGTTAGATTATCAATGGAAATCGTCCATCGGGTATGAATTTCGATTGGCAACGATTCATCCCAATCTACTTTAATTTTGCCATAACGATTGCATAATCCAACTTTGCAGTTGTATTATGATTGGGGATAAAAATCCCAATGGGTCAAAAAGTTGTCCAATTAATGACAATATTGTTCTTTTTGTGATGCGAGTGTCGCTTAAAGTTTTGTTTTTGTAACCGAATGTATCTGTTAGTGAATCCCATGATAAACCTAACGTTTTAATTTCGGCAGTGTCGGAAATTGTGAGCGTATTTGATGTGTCGCCTTCCACAATTGGCAGAACAGACGTATTGTTAGACAACCATTTGCGTAATTCAAAACCGGCGCTAGCTAGAATGTTTGTCAGTTCGGTGCGCAATTGCGAAAGGCTGGAAGTCGTATTGCTTCCCGTCAACAGATCATCCACATAGAAATCATTTTCAATGACCGAGCTGGTATGTGGATGAATCTGTTTGCTATCCAGAGCCAGTTGTTTTAGGCAGCGGATAGCTAAAAATGAGGCCGAGGCGGTGCCGTAGGTGACTGTGTTTAACTCATACTCTTTTATTGAGTCATCAGGCGAAGTTCGCCATAAAATGCGTTGTAACGATCTATTCTCAGGGGCGACAAGAACCTGTCGATACATTTTAGCAATATCGGCCATTAATGCATACTTGAATCTGCGAAATCTTACAAGAATTGAGAATAGGTCGCGTTGTATGGTGGGTCCCACCATCTGAATCTCATTGAGAGATATGGTGGAATCCGACTGAGCTGATCCATCGAATACCACACGGACCTTTGTGCTGCTGCTTTCGTATTTGAAGACCGGATGGTGCGGTAAATAATATATTGGGCTCGATTGACTGTGAGCTGGGTTAATTTGACTCATGTGGCCCAACTGCTCATACTCCTTCATAAAATTGCAATATGAATCGCGAAGGGATGAGTTCTGGAGTAATTTGCGTTCTAGTGAATAAAACCGTTTCAATGCCAGGTGCCGCGAGCATCCTAGCTGATTTGCATTTTCACGGAGTGGCAGAGATACAATGAATCGACCGTCTTCCTGACGACGCGTGGTGTTAACAAAATGCTCTTCGCAAAGTCTTTCTTCTTTCGTTAAGGGAGATATCTCTGGCAATTCTTCGAGTTCCCAAAACTTTGAAATTTCAAAATCATTTACGGCTAAATTACTAGACACATTTGTCATTTTTGAATGTATGGGTATTTGCCCAGCTATGACCCATCCTAATTTGGTTTTTTGTAGTCTGGGCAGATTTTTCCCTAGGGATATTTGCCCTACACACAGCAGACTCCAGAATAACTCTGAACCGATTAGCATATCGATGTCACCGGGTGTATTAAATTTTGGGTCAGCCAGTTTGATGTTTTGAGGTATATTTATTCGCGAAGCGTTGATTTTAAATTGCGGAAGTCTTTCAGTGATTTTGTCCATAATTAGACATGATAATTTGGTTGTGAATGATGAGCTATACGATTTAATTTGTATAGCTGCCTTTTCGTTGACGCGTGATATGCCTTGAGTTACTCCAGTTACGGCTATGTTGATGGTTTCTGAGTTAACACCTAATTTTCGACACATCTTCTTTGTAATAAAGTTCGACTGAGAGCCAGAGTCGAGAAGAACGCGGCAAGTGACTGATCTTCCGTGCTTGTCAAGCACGCTGACGCATGCAGTTGAAAGTAGTGTGTGCACGTTATTGCACACAAGATGGCTAGAAGTGCTAGGTGTCGCATTAGTTGTTGGCGAATTTGTATCAACATGTAATATTGAGTTGTGCCTTTTTTGGCAAACCTTGCATGCATAATTGCTCTTACATTGGTATTGCTTGTGACCGCTACCCAAACAGTTCGTACACAGATTTAGTTCTCGGACCTTCGTTTGTCTTTCGGCTGCTGGTAAAGCATTTAATTCGGGACATAAACGAATGAAATGGTCTTTATTACATAATTTGCAGGCGCCGAATTTAGCCTGAGTGGTAGCGTTATTAGAAGTGCGGAATGGTTTCGATGAATTTTGTTTAACTGATGGTTTTGGCCCTTGAAAGCGCAAGGTGTCCAAAAGGTCGCATTTTCGCCTTAAAAATTCAAGTATTGACTCTACGTTTGACAAGTTGTTAGATTGATTTTGAAGTTCCCAGTCACTTCTGGTTTTAAAATCAAATTTGCTTTTAATTAGGAAACACATTGTGATATCCCACATATCTTTGTCCGGCACAATGTTCCTAAGAGTTCGTATGTTACCCTTCGCAGTGTCGAGAAGGTTTCGCATTGACGCGTGTATGTCTTTACTATCTAAAGACGTATCCCATATTGCTTGCAATAGCTTGTCAACAATTAATCTTTTGTTTTGGAATCTTTCAATTAATAAATTCCAGGCAATCTCGTAATTGTCTGATGTTGGTGCAAGAGATGAAATAGTATTTGCCGCTTCTCCAGTTAAGCACGAGCGCAAATATTGAATTTTCTGGACGTTGTCCAGGTCAGGATGGTTGTGTATTAAAGATTTAAACGTCTCTGAAAATGACGTCCATGCGTCATATTGACCATTGAATTTAGGCAATTCTAAATTCGGTAATTTTGCATTAAATGACTTTGCATTAGATTGCGTCATATTTGACGTTGGTCTTGCTTTTGATGCAGAGTCTTTAAGCAGACATTTGTACTTTGAAATAATATCAAAATACGAATTTTCGAAAGTTTCATACTCATTGTTATGCATATCTGTATTTTCGCCATCAAGGATCTCAAATTGATACATGATATCATTAAATTTGTCGAGCAATGGCAAAATTGTGTCAAGTCGCAATTGAATGTTGATTCGGTCAATTACTTCTAAATCGCAATTAATATAGAAAGTATTTGCACGAGTTAGCGCGGATTTAATTCGACTTTTTTGGATTGTAAGCGATTTTAAGTTATCTCTTTCGGCCATTTTGATACGAGTATATCGGCAATTGAAGGAGGTATAACGAAAAGGATAAAATGAGTTGACTCACTCTTTAGTGGTTGATGTCGTCGAAGACGAGCTGCGTTGATGTCGTCGAAGACGAGCTGCGTTGATGTCGTCGAAGACGAGCTGCGTTGATACACACGATGCTGGAAAACTGACCAACCTCGGCGGATTCCTCTTGTAAATATACTTCATCCGGTTCGAAGGACCAATGTTGGGGCGAAACCTGCGTAGCTTGTCTTCCTGGTTCTGAAGACGGTTGCCCGATTTTTGCTTGCGATGCTCAAGCAACTCTGACTGAGTTTAGCCGGTCTAACATCGCGCTCTAAGAAATTACAGTGATGTGGTGGATGAGAAAACTCTTGCTGATTTTAACCGTTTATTTCCGTGTTACTTCCACAAGAGCTCAAGAGCGAATGAATCCCACAAATCAAGCAAATGCAGATCCTGGGGACATTCCTGCCAACGCTGCAGGAACGATGCAGCTGCTGTCCGGAGCGAACTCGGAGAACAAAGCACACAATTGCAGCTGCCCCACAACAGGTAGCTCCGCCAAAATGCAAACGACAACAATTCGCCGTGTCATCGAATTTCATTTGTCGGACTTGGCCCGAGCAAGTTATTTAATGATTTAATATATTACATCAATTGAAGTCATTGTAATGTGTTGTATTCGACAAAATCCGTCTTGAAGCAATTGATAGTATCATTTCTGCGGAAATTCAGATCCGTCTAGTGACCAAGTTTGATATTGTTACAGCATACGATCCATGGTCCATGCGGAAAATGTTCTAAAATTTTCATAAAGGTTTCACTAATGATACGATAACAAATACCGACGGATGATATCAATATGTCGTCGAAGAAATTCGATTATGGCGGACAATCATTTGTAAAATATATCAGCAACATGAACATTGACGTTGACAATCATTGGGTGGTGCCGTATTCGCTTCTGCTAAGCAAGACGCCACAATGCTCATATTAATGTTGAGTTTTGCAGTTCTGTGGAGAGCATCAAATATATTTTTAAGTATGTCCGCCAAAAGCATAAAGTGATATGACTGTATTTAGGAAGCCACACAGTACACATAAATCATGAGTGGCTTGCAGAAGGGGGCTATTTTAGCAACAAATAATGCAGACATTGACAATTTAAGTTTGAATATACAACAGTTGTTGCCAGGGAACTTGTTATCATATAAATCTATTGATACAATTTGCGATACCAGCGATGTTGTCAATTTTTCCCACAAATTTTTGAACTCACTGGATTTGCTAGACATGCCACATAATTTACAATTGAAAGTTGGATCTCCAATTATTTTGCTTTAGTAATTTAAATAACCCGCCACGGTTTTCCAACGGTACGCGATTAGTGCTTCAAAATCAATTAAAAACGTTATCGAAACCAGCATCTTATAGCAGTTCAGATGTAAATACATTAATACCACGGATTTATTCCAATTATACCTACAAAAGTGTTAAATTCAGATTCAGAAGCAAATTCCAGTTTCCCATTAGATTGGCATTTTACCAATGACAATACGCTACGTATTGCTAGTAATCACTAAAAAACACCTGAATTGTGTCACATACAATACTTAGTGATCGTAGATAATTAACCCCTTTCACAAAACGAAATGAAACAATCAAACAAAAAATAAATCAAAGAAAACTGCGGAATTTGTTTTGTTTGTCAGTGGACAAAGAAAACTCAGTAGAAAGTTAATTTTGCGCAAAACACCATATAAAACAATAAACGTAATAAGTCGAAGAAGGCTGCCAATTTGTTTCTGTTAATCGATTGGAAAAAAGAAAACTTCAGCTTTTCCCCGTTTTACCGGTAATTATTCCAATTTTTCTCGCCGTAAAACCACCCTAGACTTTTAAACGGCAGCATTTTAAAGTTGTTATGCCGATTTTTGCAATTCATTTTAAATCTTAGATAATAAAATTATTAATTTTGGGCGCATTTTTGCACGATTATTCAGTTAATCAAGTTTTAAATACTTACACACTTATAATATGTAAGTTACTTTTGTCTACACCTTTAAATTTATCTAGAAGCTAAAATAATTTATATTTCAAAACAACGTTTGCCGGGTTAACTATAGTATCTATATATATATATAAATGCAAAACCGTGTTGGTTACCTTGATTATAACTAAAGAACGCTAATCCACTGCAGCCAAAACAAGTATATGCAGCTTTAGGCCAGGAAAAGGTAATGGGATACTTTTGAAATGAAAACTTTCTACGCAAAGGCACTAAACGACACTAAAAAAAGAGACAAACATATTTGCGTATAGGATTATCTTGCGGGAGAATAAGAGAACGCAAATACAAAGTTTTCTATTATTCCTGTCTCCTTTGTGCGATGCTTCGTAGCTTCCCCCAAGCATGGACGTGTGTATGTGTGTACGTGTGGGTTGAAGTTGACCGGTTGATGTTTTGTTTGGAGAAGGTTAATAGATACTTTTGAAGTGAAAACCCTTTAGAGAACACTAAACGACACTAAAAAAACAAACATATTCGCTTATATGGTTTAGCCTACGGGAGAAAAAGAGCACACAAATACAATGTTTTCTATTATCTCCGTCTCCTCTTTGTGCGATGCTTCGTAGCTTCCCCACTCAACATGCAGCGACCAAAACGATCAAATCTTATCCGACAAAACCGTAATGCAACTAGGATGGAACAAAGTTTGCCGGGTCAGCTAGTATTCTATATATTTCATTCACGTTTACATTTGTTTCATATTGTAGATGAAGGTAGCTTAAGTTGAACCACCACAATGTTTGCTAACTTAGTTGTTAACTAATAATTAACTGTTAACTAATTTCTACTAATTAGTATATATTTTGCTCACCAGGTCGCTCGTCATTGTAAACATATTGTCCTTGTTTATACCAACATTATCAAAATACACCAAAGTTGCCTGTGATGACTTAATTCCTGAACACATAGCAAAATTTCAAGATAATGATGTCATACGTGTCAGTTTATTATCAAAGAATCAACTGAAAAACATTTGCATGAATCCAAATGTTGAAGCACGCAATTTTTTGGAATCATTGCACGGTGTTCAAATTGATGACTGTGCAAATATCAATCATTGCAAGGGATTAATCACAAACTTTAAAAATATTGTACAATTGAACATGGAATCAACAAACTTAAGAGAATTTGACTTCAGTTTGATTTCTTCTACTGATTTAAGTGAAATTAATTTAAACGGAAATGCTGGGATAATGTTACGAGGATTAAGCATTGCTAAATTAGTAGAGTTTTCTTGTGCTGGATGCGAACTCAACTCGTCAAGTATTGAAACATTGTTGCAATTCAAGGATTCCATGATAGTATTAGACCTACGAGAAAATAATGTAGACGAAAATGAAATACGCAAACAACTTCCAAATCTGCAAGAAATATATGTTGATACAAAGTATACTATTGCTATGGAACCAGTGAACAAGAATAGATCTAGTGAAATGGGTCTTCCGAATGGGTTTGAATTGTCTTTAGACAATATTTCGGAAAACACTACCAACATTTCACTTTCATACTACAAGGTATCCTATATGGAGTATGACGCATTCAGCAAATTTGAAAACATGACGTATTTGAATCTCACCGGAAATCTCTTGAAGACATTCAACATAGCTCCCAACCAACTGCGAGTTCTTGATTTGTCTGTCAATCAAATAACATATATTGACTGTCAACTTCTGCTGAACTCTTCACATTTGAAAGAACTATACTTGGAACAAAATAGTTTAAAAAGGATTGATTGGAATTTAAATGCGCATATCAACCTGCAAAAAGTAATTCTAAATGAGAATCAATTAACAACCATCACTCTGATTTCACCGACCTTGAAAGAACTTTGGATTAAATTTGAAGACGCACGGGTTGAATTTTCAGCAGTAAGCAAAATGGAACATCTTACATTTTTGGAGACCAGCGGAACAGAAACTGATGAAGCTTTGTGTTGGTTAAGCAATTCTAAACTGATAATTGGATCAACTGAAGAAAATAAAATTTGCGAGATTTTGACATGGAGTTGGCCTTGGATAATTGTATCATGTTGTACTCTTTTCGGTTTATTTCTTGCTATTTTGTTTGTCTTGTTTATTTCTAAACAAAAAAATCAGGCGGATCAGACAGAGAATAATTTATTAGAATATGACGCGTAGAGTTGAAATTTGAACAAGAAGAAAGAGTTTATTATTAAACGCCAATAATAATCCAGTGTATCTTAGTTTTCCATAGAACAGAACTACCCCCGACAAAATAACAAACTTAACTAACTTACAAACACATAAGGTGGCTAAAAAGACCTTAAGTTACTTGGGGTGAAGCCCTCGTGGCGCAACGCTATTTGTGAAAGAGCGCAAAACTCAACAGAATAATTACCTATAAAATTTCCTTAAATTAAACAAATAAATCAAGCTATGTAAAGTAAACACTTACTGTACGCTATACCCTCACAATATCGTTATGAAAAACGATATATTACTAAATCATTGCAAGTCAAGGCAAGTATTTGTCAAGCCTGATGTGGATAGCTATTTCGACCATTGTGAGGGTATAGCGTACAGTAAGTGTTTACTTAACTTTACTTAAACTAATTGTGCGAATTCACTTAAAATTAATAATTTTATTATTATGAATAAAATAATAATAATTAATAGTTAATATGAGAGTTACACTGAGATAGCAATATGATTATTGTAAATGGTATAACTACACTTGATACATATACCAGAATGATGGCCGAAAACTGTGTAGGGAGTGAGAGAAGTCTTATTGTGTGTGAAACAGGAGACCAGCTTCAGTCTCATTCCTTCGAGCGGGATGAAAAATGATTAAAATACTAAAATGGCTATAAAAAAATAGGGATTGATGATAAAAAAGTAAAAAATTAGGGTTGTATGTATTTTTAATGCCACATTATTAAAAAATAAAAACAAAATATTTCATCCAAAAATTAAACAAAAATCTAAGGTGTATGGTGTATGTATAGGGGTATGAAAATTGATAGTAGCCGAGGCTAAACCATATAAGCGAATATGTTTGTCTCCTTGTAGTGTCCTTTAGTGTCCTCTAAAGAACTTTTCACTTCAAAAAGTATCCTAGTAACCTTCTCCAAACAAACACATCATCCGGACAACATCAATCAACACGTACAACACACGCATGTCTATGCCTAGGGGGAAGCTACGAAGCATCGCACAAAGAGGAGACGGGGATAATAGAAAACTTTGTATTTGCGTTCTTTTATTCTTCCACAGGATTATCCATATAAGCGAATATGTTTGTCCTTTTTTAGTGTCGTTTAGTGCCTTTTTAAGAAGTTTTCCCTTTAAAAAGTATTCTATTACCGTCTCCCGGCTCTAAGCTACCTCTTCACAAATTTTTAGCTAAATCGGATTATCCGTTCTTTAGTTATAAGTGCAGTAACTAAGTCGACTTTCTTTTATATATATATAGACTAGCAAATCCGGCGAACTCCGTTTCGCCACCAGATGGCTTCGTTTTTAGTAACATTTCGTTTGGTGATCAAAAGATGAAGAATTTTTTTTTTGTTTTTTTTTATTTGAAAACGAAATTTTTTTTTATTTGACAACAGTAATGAACGCATTTCGATTTCAGAAATGAAGCGTTATTCAGTTGAACATCTATAAGTAAATTCTGTAAGTAAATGAAATTGAATCCAAAGAAAATTTTGAATCGAAGCATTATACATGTCCGCAAATTATCGGTTTCATTGAAGTGCTTTTTGGTAAACCACACTTTTGGTTTTTTGGTCTGACATTAACACAAACAAAGCGGATAATTTCCCTACGCGTGAACACGCAACGTGTATCTGCTCATGTGAAAAACAATGATTTTCTAAATTTATCCCGCTAACACTAAGCGATTGGCCTTGCGACTTGTTAATTGTCATTACGAACGCTAGGCGAATTGGAAATTGCAATCGTTTTGAAGTCAAACGGAAGATCAATCGGAATCATTGTTATTCCAGAAATACATACATTTTCACCTGCGTACTTTCCGTTAATAATTGTTGCCTCAATCAAATTCGGCATAAGTGTTTTTACCGAAAATCGAATACCGTTGCAAAGTCGCGGTGGATTCAAATTACACAATATCATAATAACTGCACCAACTTTGAGTTGTAAGTTATGTGGTGGAAATCCACGTTACTCCAGAAAGTTTGAAAACTCCGTTGTATAATTTAGTACATCATCGGAATTTGTTATGGAATCAACGGATTCGTATGTCACCAAATCGTCAGTAATTATTTTAACAAATCTTTATTAATTATTATCATTGTTCTCGATACCGCGACTGAAAGTGCTCAAAAGTGCAATTTTTCAATTTTTGACCTTTTATTTCAATTGCTAATATCTCGTAAACTAAAGGAGATAGAAAAAAACGAATCGCAAAAATATCGACGACAGTGATGAGTATTATTAAATATTTGTTCAATTAAAATAACTATTCTCTGAAAATTTCATGTTTAAACAATTTAACTTTTGCAACTTTTATACACTTTCAATGCGTCTGGCAGGATGATAGAACCGACCAAACTGTCTGGCGCGAAAGAAAATACAGTTTCATAGCTCTCTGTATAATGTGAATCAAATTGAGCTTTCCTAATATAACGAAAGTAAAAAAGTTAAAAAATAATATACTTTAGGGGTGTCTGGCTAGGGTTGGAACCATACCAGGTGACTGGCAATGGGCAGCGCATGTTATAATAATGTTACGAACAAAATATGCAAAAATGGAATTTGCTAAAATAACGAAACATAGGTCATCATGTGTACATCTTTGTTGGCTGTTAACTGCCAAAGGAACCACGATCCAGGTTTCATAATTGGGGATCTTTCTTACCTGTGTTGGAGAAATACATGGACAAAATTTCATCTTTCCTAAAATGACGAAAGTCTGGCCGTCACGGGCTCTTAGTCTATTAGAGAATGTTTTTATAATAAAATGAAAAAACAAAAGCAGACAAAAATTACAGATTACTTACAATAAAAAATACACTTGTATGTGTTATAATGTGCTGATTACGTGCAATTTTGTTGTTTTAATATGTATGTATACATATGTAATTACTATGTTTTTGTATTAAAATACTTAAGTACATATGTACATATTTACTTAATAGATTTTTCATTTCACAAAACGCTTTGTATGACGTCCGCTTATTACGACATGTTTGTCAATTCCTTTCGATGTCATTATTAACGGACTCTACTGTACAATATGCATACAATATTAACTTATGTAGTAATTTGAAGCAAGAAAGGCACAAAGGGGGTTTATCGCTGCAACCTGAACAAAATGTTATAACTCGCTTCGATTTTTGAGACGCAAACTTTCTTCCCCCCTTAGCATTTAATTGTTTATAGCATTCGCGGCAAAGCTTCCTTGCTGTTCTTGTAGTGGCCGAGTATTTTTCGAAATAATGCTTTTCTCCCTTTGGCACCTCCTGTAATTGATCAGGTAAACTAAGGAGTCCATCTGTTACGATCTCTCGAAATTTGAGTAAATTTGTTCCACGCTTTTATAATGGCTGTGCCACGAATTATTTCAATTACAATCTTTTTATACTACATTATTGCTTTTCGGAGTAGTACACTAATAGGATGTAAGTTGATCTGATAAGTCCACTCCTTTTTTTGCTTGATTATAATCTTTTAATTGCGTCAGGTTTTAGTTTTCCTTTGGATCTTCGCGTAATTTGCAGGAATGGTAATGAGCTGGTACACCGCTCTTTTGTCGGTCCATTCCAAAAATTTTACTCCTTGTTTATTTTGTGTACAAAAAATTTCCCCGCGTTTTTGTTTTGCTTTGACTTGCCTTGGCAAAAACTTTCTTATTCTATTGACGGTACCACAAAAGTAAGTATTTTTCCGAAGCAATTCCTCGGCTAATGGGACGCTGGGGTAAAAACTGTCGGTAAATAATGTGTCGGTGTGATAATGATCTACCCCGCTTTTCCCGGCATATACTTCTATACTGTAAGAGCTGTTCGGAAATATAGTTTGTATAATTTGATTCCAAATTTATGTCGTTTGCCGGGAAGGTATTGTCGAAACCGAAGCCGTTCTCGCCAAGCAATCATCGACTCATCAATCACAACCTCTGAACCTGGAATAATAATAACTGTTGAAATTTGTTTTTAGTTCAACCAAAATATTAAAAAATTTGTTCAACCGGGTTATTATCACTAAAATGTAGATATTTTAGTATGCCAAGAAAGCGATCTCGCTTCATAATTTCGTTAATTTTTAGATTGGTGTACATTTTAGTTTTAGACCAATACATCCTAATTTTCAGGAAAGTGTGGAATTTCCTTTATTAGCAAATTTGCTAGAAACTTTTTTATCTTGTCGAAACTTACTGCTGTCCATTCCAAGTTGTGCTTTCCAGTGCTGGTACAAGACACTGCATCTTCTTTCATTTCAATTCGTCTCTGGGTTGCATATCTGTTCATTGCATCAGCCATAAGATGCAAAATGCTATCGTTTATAAACAGTTTGTATAGCAAATATGGATCATTGCAATCCACATCTACAAATAATGCAAACCAGGATTTATAACGTTATTGCCCGTTTCGGTAACGGGCCCCCAAATTTCATCTTCAATGTTGACGTTTTTTAGATGCGTAGCCTTTAGATTCAGAATCCGTAAATAACTCTTCGTAGGAAGATGACCGCGGTTTCGGCACCCTTTTCTTCAATATAATCGACTCATCGGAAGAACTTTCGCTATCAGTTAGCATCAGCATTTCGTTTTCGTTCTATTGAATATAAAAAAAAGTATTTTATGAACTTCATATATGCACACTAAATAAAGAAAATAGTACTTACCAATAAACAAGATATCGGCAATATTCAGCAATAATTCAGATGTGGATGCGAAGTTACACACAGCGCGATGACTTGTAAAATATGCGTTCGCTAACGTTAGTCGTGCCAGTTGCTGTGCTCGTGCTGTGATTTACACAATTTGAAAAATAGACAAACGCTGCCAGATGGACCAGACAAAGAAATATTGTGCCGGTGTCAACGTGTTAAAGTTAACCTCAAATCTACATATGTGACACTTGTTTGTTATGAATGAATCAATGAATGAATGAATCAAAGACTGATTGAATAAACATAAGTCTCACATAAATGATCGGCAAACTTCGCTCCATGTCGGTTCCATTCGGAATTCAATTCGTGTGGGTTCGAGTTACGCCCAACTCGAGTTAACTCGAGTTAGTTACTTGAAGTAACAGTTTTGTGCGGCACGCCGGTTGTTTGTCGCTGTTTGTTGGTTAAGGTGCATCAATCTCTTGTGAAGGAATAAAGAAACGGCTGATGTACAAGTGAAATATTCTCAATAAAATAACCCTTTAAGATGAAACACAATATCAATTATAATAATATAGGTAAATTGCCATAAATTAAACGAAGCCATGCGGGTTAGGCAAAACATAACCAAAACGTGCAGCAACAGCAAACAGTATCACCACACGTGACAACGAATTAATTTAAATACAATACCAGTGAATCCGTTAAAAAACCTTACAACCTAAACTAAATCTAAAAAATGTATCACAAAACGATATAAATATTAAGATATAAATATTAAATCCCAAAATGGAATTCAGTGACTACATTAATGCATTAAAAACTAATCAAAAATTAAATGTAATACTGCAAAGCAGTCAGAGATATTTTTGAAATAATAATTGTAGATTAATATTACTGTGAACTCCTAATGTTACGTACAAGTAACTAGTCAACTCTTGATTGTGTGTGCATTATTCGACAGTAACTCTTTATGGAACAGCTGTGTTGGCGGGCTTGCAAGTTTCTATGCGTCGCCTATCACTCGCTCTCTCTCTCTTTCTCATTCGCCATCTTTTTCTCAGTTTGTCTACTCTCGTCTTGGCCGTTCAGCTTTGTTTGAATTGCTGATCCCTAGATCTGTCTTTTTCTTCTTCACCTTTAGTGGTGCACTGTCAGCTATTTCTACTTACGAATATTACGACAAGGGCTCGGGTCTACGGGTCTCTTAAGGTCTCAAAATGATAATACACACTTTCGTTTAACAAGTTAGCATCTATTCTTCTCAATCTCCTCTAGATGTCGCTTCCTACATTATATTTAATTTAAAACACAACACGAATTTAGTATGAAATACCGGTATTTCGAGGCTGATACACATCAAATTCCTCTGATGAACTTGAGATTGCTCGAAAATTTTTCCTTACATCCAAAAAATGTCTTGAGCGATAGCTTAATTACCATGCGCAACGGAATGACACTTAGGTGCCGACCGCTTTTACAATCTTATTTGTATAATTTAATTCCAGCGATATCTAATCGTTCGTTCTAATCGGTCAGTTTATGACATGACGGACTCTTGCTCATTTGTAAATATTTTTACTATCTATTTCTAATATTAATATTGTTGGTGTACATATTATGATATTACTATTGACATTGCACCACTGTACAGCTTAATGTCTTTGTTGTCCACATCCGAGGCGACGCACTGTCGGCACTAAATACGCACAACACAAAATTCCAAGTTGGAAAACATCACTAATGTGTCTGCCGCTTTTCTGTTTGCGGTGCAAACATGCTGGGGCCGGCCGAAGAGGTGCCTCTATGAAGGATCGATGGTGAAGCTGTTTGCGGTGGCGAATATCCGTGCTGATGGTGCTCAGCGACTTCTGCTGCTGGATATAATCGAGTCCTTAAGCGATACATGTTGATGATGTGAGTATGATGCTCTTTGCCAATTTGTGATGCATCGTGTTCATCACTTGAGTCTGGAATTTTCCGAATTGGTTCTGCATTGTACCATTTGTCTCGTTCAATGTGTACAGTGTTGATCAGCATCAATTCCGATTGGGATGGTTTGTTTTAATGAACTCCTTCTGGTTCTCGGTTAGGCCGTCGATATATCGTGATAGACTTCGTCATTTACTCCGTACATAGAGGTGAAGAGAGTTCCAAGAATTCCACGTTTGATCCTATTCATTGAAGCAGTCCGTCATCGTATTTGACCCACTCTAACCTGCTGATTTTAAAGTGCAACCAGCTAATTGCGAAGTGCGTATTACACCCAAAAGACCTCTTATTTATCGTTATAAGCTGTATATTTGCAGAAAGTTTTCATCAATTTCTGGGCCGGTTGAATGTCGTGCTTGATTTTCCATGTCAATCATCACCACAGCATTCGAAATTCTCCTCTTGTGACGGTGATTCTCAGATGTTCTACGAAGATTCCAGACGTGATGCTGGATTTGATGAAGGCGCAGCAGCAAGAATATTATAGGTATCACATTAATTTTGATTTGGACTTAGATTCCTTTCTTCTTGTTGCTGTTTCGTCGCTTGCTGATTGAGCAGGTGGCGCGTATGCGTGCGGCTGCCGTTCCGTATGTGACCCTTTGCCGTCTGAACTGTCGATGAGGTCGTTTGAGTCGGATCTCGATAAAATTGGTACCGTTGATGCGCCATTGCCACTGTGGGATTTGTCGGTACATCTTCTCGATGTCTGCTGTGAACATACCTTATGCTTTTTGACACACTTAGTGCGGACCGCATATACAATCTTATTTGTATTTGTATTTTCGAAGTTTAAATTTTGGGTCAAGCATCGAACTTGTAATTTGTGGGATCACTATTGATATGCATGCATCACTAATTGATAAAATGAAGCGTGACTTACAAAACAAATTTAAAACGGCTATTATGTTCTTTTATCACATCCCATTCCTTAGAGAGAAGAGCATCACCCCACATGTTCAACACTGTACAAGTTGGCTGCCTTTGTTGCTTTAAAAGTCTTGCACATCACGCACGTATGCTGTTTTACCTCACATCAACATCTTGTCAATTGCGCACACGGGCAATTGCTCATAGGGATTTACTCACACGGGCAATTGCGCACCTTGTGAGCAAAAGCCCTGTGAGCAATTGTCCGTGTGCGCAGTAAAGACTGTGCGCAGTTGTCTTGTGAGCGATCGTCTTCGTGGGCAAATGTCCGAGTCGATATCTGACTAATGCATGTATAACAATTCTAATTTGATTGGCAGTCTCATATTCATAGTGATCATGTATCGCGCAATATTTTATACATGGCCACCTAGGACTAGAAAAATCTTTTAAAGATTTAAACTCTAAGATTTAAACCGTTTAAACTCTATTGATTCATAATTTCTGTAACTTTTGCTCAACGATTCCAAAGATGTTGAAAGCAGTAAAACTAAGAAGCGAACGTGTTATACATGCATTAGTCCAGATATCGGTGGTAGCACTCACCCACTCGCTTCTTACAATTAAAGTCCACTTTAGATTTCATTATTTCATATCTTTTCGGTATCAGCGATGTTCTAAAATATTTTCTAGATTTCACCTGATATTTGTGAACTGCGTGATATATCAATGATGGTTCATTATTGCTTTATCAACTCTCTTATATTCAAAACACAGGAAGAAGCAATACGTAACTGAACGAAGTATTACATACGTACTGCCTCATTCGAGGGCTGTACTTTTGAGGGGGTACACTTGGTTGTATTACATACTCAGTTCAAGTAACTTCATAACTTAACACTCGCTTAAGCGTTACTTGTTTACAATGGTTAAGCAATATGAGTCATTTAACACATGCATTTACTAACAAATTTTTATAATAAATTTGCAGGTAACGATTTTGGTTCATATGGATCAATTAAATTGCTCCGAAGATGAAACTGATGCAGGTGTTTCAGATCTGGATGTAATGTCTGACGGTGAATCTGAATATAGTAACCATGATTCAAACACTGAGCAGTCCGTAGGTGAAACTGATTATGATACAGATGACAATAATAATAATCCGTCGAAGAATGAAACAACAAAGAAATTTATCCTGGGAAGAGATAAAACTACAAAATGGTTTCACGACCCACCGAATCCAAAAGTTCGAACCAAACGGCAAAATATTGTCATCCGTCTTCCAGGAGTTAAAAAATGCGCCAAAGATGCCAAAACCCCTCTAGATTGTTGGAGCCTATTTATTCCAAATGAAACGATTGTACAAATTGTTTATAATACAAATATCTTCTTGGAAAACTTACGCCTTACAAATAAAAAGAAGTCAGAAATTCAACCCACATCGGTCGAAGAAATACAGGCAATGATTGGATTATTATACCTGATAGGTGTACATAAAGCTTCGCGACTTAACTTAAAGGAATTGTGGGCGACTGATGGTTCGGCGCCGGATTGTTTTCGTGCAGTGATGTCCATGACGCGATTCTATAATTTATTGTCGGCGTTAAAGTTCGACGATATAAATGATCGTGACGATCGTAAAAAATTGGATAATTTGGCACCTATTCGAGAATTTTCGGAAAATTTTATTAAACCATGTCAAGAAAATTATACACCTGGTGCTTTTTTAACCATCGATGAAATGCAACAAGCTTTTCGAGGCCGATGTAAATTTCGACAATATATTGCCAATAAACCGGCTAGATATGGCATAAAAATTTACTCTATGACAGACTCCAAAAAATTTTACACTTACAATATGGAAATATACTGTGGGAAGCAGCCACCAGGACCTTTTCAAAAGTCTAATTCAGCATTTGATGTTGTTCAAAGATTGACCTCTCCAATACTGAACACTGGTAGGAATATCATCTGCGATAATTACTTCACATCTGTACCTCTGGCCAACCACTTGTTAAAAAATAAAACAACTCTTGTCGGAACAATAAGACGAAATAAACGTGAAATTCCGAATGAAATGACTAATATTAAAACTCGATCTATTTATAGCAGCAAATTTGTTTTTAGTGATAATAGTACGTTACTGTCATACGTCCCTAAAAAATCGAAGAACGTTTTGATGTACTCGACTTTACACTATCCAGTGATATTGATGTAGACACTGGAGAAAAACTAAAACCTGAGATCATTACTTTCTATAATGGTACTAAAGCTGGTGTAGACGTTGTAGATCAACTCCAAGGCGAGTATGATGTTGCTCGGGACACACGACGCTGGCCGATGGTCATTTTTTATGCATTTCTTAATATTGCCGACATTAACTCTAAAATTATCTATGAAGAAAACACTGATAATAAAATGATTCGGCGAGATTATTTGAAACAGCTTTACTCGCACCTAGTTCATCCGCACTTAGTGAGCCGTCTTCAGTTACCTAATTTATCATTGGCATTAAGATCAATAATAATAAAAACTGGAAAAATAAAGCCTAAAAAAAATCCTCAATTCGCGGAACGTCGACTGTGTTACCACTGCCCTAGAAGAGCGAATAGTTATACAACTAAAAATTGCACTTCTTGTAATGCTCCAATATGCAATAAGCATATGATTCGTTATTGCTGTGATTGTCAATCAAATCTAGTATCAAGAGAAGACTTATAAATAACTAATATTTAAAACACTAAGATTTATGTGTGATAGTACAAAACTTTAGCTTGTCTTAATTGCCAAAAATGAAAAGTAATGTAATTTTTACAATTTTGTCATTACATTTTGTCGTTAATGAAACATTGTTACAATGTTTTATATATTTTTATCACTTAACTAAATCGTCGTCCTTAATATTTTAATAACATTGAAAGTGCAGTATTATCATAAATAGTAAAGATTCTGTAATGTTAATTTAGCGAAAAAAAAATTCAAGTCAACTGTTCATATAATCATCAGAGGCAGTTTTTGTTACAAAACCTTGATTATTATATTAAAATATTTTTTGTTAAATATTAATAAGCAAAGTGATTTTAAATTAAAATAAGTTAATTATAATTATATAAACGTTATTCAGTGCAATAGTTGCAGACTAATCATCACAAATGTTTTAGAAATATGTAGTTTTAATTTGTCAAGTTTAACTTAATAAAATAATTTATCTAAATAGAAAATTTCATATTTATTTTGTCCTCGTCAGAATTATATAATTTTTACTTTAATAACACTAATATTTAATTTATATTATTCAAAACCCAATTTTTTATTTTGTATTTTACTTGGTGTGTAACCTACAAATATTTTAGTAGGTTTGAAATTTCGCGCTTGGCGCTTGCGCAATAGGCGTGAGATTTTCTCTCATCACGATATTAATGACTATGGTACGGGAGACGTATAGTCTGAAGGGTTAAGAACAATAACAGTTAACACAACACACAACGATCCCACAACTCTAATACAATGCTTCAACCGATGGAAGACTATGATAACTTCCGGGAGGAACATAATATTGCCATAGCAGAGATAATCGACATTGGTAGCAGCAGTGATGGCAACACAAGCAGCCTGAGTGAAGTAGATTCAGCGGATGTTGCTTTTATTGCAGATTCAGACAGTGAAGGTATGGAATAAAGTCTAGCCCTCTGGTAAAATTATCATTAATGATAGGAAGATGGTCAACATTTTCCATTGGTCAATGCTGAATCCTCAAATTTCATCGCACGCTAATTGGTTGATCACGTCTCATCATAGAAATTATTATAATCAAGCGCAACATTTGGAGGTGTTGCAATGTAGAGGCCCTAACTACTACCCAATATACTCCAAACTGCATAAGGCAAAAAAAGATCAAAACGAGAAGAGAAAACGACGACGACAACATAAAATGGACACGGAATCAATCCCGAAAAAGACAACTGTACTAAATCAATCCATAGCAATACTGCCTATACCATCTGAAGAATCAGTGGAAATCTAACATCCAAAATTGAATAATATTGTTGTGACAATTGCCGAGGTTGAGGTTGTTATACTACCGAGTAAAAAGCCAAAAGTTTATACTGTTTTGTGTTTTGTGTTTCTGTTTAGGTGGCGAATTTTAAGTTGTTGTGTGTGTTGATAATTATATTTTGTATTTCTTTTATTCTGTGTTGTTCTTGTATCATAAATAAAATGTTATCTACGTATCTACATCAATGAATTTGTGTATATATTTGTTTGTTTTTGTTTTTCTATTATTATTTGTAGAAATAATTCGCTAATGAAACCAAAGATCGGGTAGCCCATTGCAACGCCTGCGTTTGTGGGATATATTGTATTGCTGAATGTGCAGTAGTTTTGTTTTAATAGTTGCGTTATTATATCTGTGTGATTCTATATTTTTTGTTGTATTATGTTTATTGTTTCTGTTGTGGGTATGTTTGTGAATTGGTTTGTTATGTCAAATGAATATAGTTTTGTATTGTTGTTAATTTGTATGTTTTTTTTATATTGGTATATAAAATTATATATTGTTACAGGGTGGTTGGGAAGTTGAATTTTGGTTCTTTGTTCACTACTTGTTCCTCTGTTTTGTTCAATATTATGTCTGTTAGGTTGTTGAACTTTTTATAGTTTTTATGTGTTTGGTTTTTTGGTTGTTCTTTAGTTAATTCGTTTATTTTGTTTATTTGTTGGTGTAGTTGATATGTGTTTTGTATTAGTTATTCTTTTTTGATATATAGTTTTCTGAGTTATGCTTTTATTATTTGTTGTTGTAGTTTTAATTTAAGTTTTGTTGTTGTTGTATTGTTTTTAATTGTTGCGTAGTTTGGGTAGATTTGTTTTCTGATGCACTTTTTTATTAAATTTTATGTTGGCAATTGTTTTGTGTAGGTCTCTTTTGGTGTATTTATATTTGTTAATTATTCTGTTGAGTGGAATTGTGTTCAGTCTTAAAGAGACACTATGTTATTATTAAATATGCACAAGTTGAACGAACTGTCTTGGGCAACTCTCGAACTGTCTGTTGTTGATTAACTGATCGTTGTTGATGAACTGTTTGTTGTGTCTAGACTGATTTGTTCTTTTCTCCAAACTCCTATTTTTGGCAAATCGTTGAGGGGTACTCAGTAAGGGTAGGATTTGCCGGTTGTTGATTGGTGGAGTATCGGAAAAGTGGGGTAGCGCTGACCGATCAATTTGGCAACAGCGCGCTACATGGAACTTTGGATCGTCTGCTAATGTTGGGAATTTCAAGAAATAAGGGATGGTGCAATAATATAATTTGCAACAGTAGTAAAGTCCAAAAATGGAGTAATTGAGGATAGATTGGAAATTTTTTGGAACATGTGCTGTTGGAGATTCCCACAATTCTTTTATTCTCACTTACTAATTTAGTATATACAGTACTGTGTTTACTACTAGTAATACAAATAGGTATAGCTATGCGTGGAGATTGATGACTTTAATTCTAAGAATCAACTTAGATTATAAAGTACGCCACGGGGCACATTGTATGATGAAGTATTATTTTTATAATGAACTACGGAGTGAATTTATTTTTAACTTATTATACCCAAGCGGAGTCTTAAATTTTTAAGGTTAAGGTTGTATTCACCAATGTGAATGAAGCATTTTCTAAAGTAATTAAAACAAACGTTTTCCTAAGAAGGAAAGAATTTTGGCAATCCACAAATAGAAAATTCATTCATGTCGCATACAAAATGACTAAATATCGAAAGTCGATCAAAAGGTGTAACGTTTAAAAATGCTTCAATTCTCAGCTTTTACTGATCCTGTGTTTTAGATGTTTAGTGGTCAGACATGGATCATGTTTTATTAAAAACGTTGACTCGTTGTAAACTTTTGTGTTCTCAGCTATTTTATTGTTAGTGTTAGTTAGCATGAACATCAAATAATTATTCGCACGAAATGCTCTAAAATGCTTTCAGGTTCACAGGTTAGTGATTTTACAGATTTCTTCGTTTGAGTTCACTGTTCACACTCGGAACTTCCGTGATGTGTGCACTGTGTTTTATTTAGTATTTGCACAGTGAACTGAATGAATTGCATTTACTTGGGGAGTCCGCGTGACTCCCATTACCCGTGTGGAAATCCTCTAGAAAAGGAGATCTAGCAGGATCGTTTTACAAATGCTCTGACAACAGTTAGATTAAAGAGAACTTCTTTCTTGAATGGTCAGTTCACTTTAAATAGCATGCTAAGCTATCTGCAGATTAACCCATCCTTTTAAGGATGACGATCATGCTAGTTACATTTCTCTTTCCGTCTACTGAATAGTGTAAGTCCAATCACATTCATATATTGTCTCTACCACTACACAAATCACACAGAATGCAACCCTTGGACGTTTCTTTCTGTGGTTCGCTCAAAGTGGCCTACAAAGATTGCCCCCAGGGTAACCACCATTATCCGCATGTCGGTGTAATGGCAGTCAAATCGAGGATTTTAAGCATTTATAATATCAAAAGGTACTTATCAAAGGGGCCCCAGAAAATTATTTCTAATAATAGTTATTAAACGCCAGTTTAACCACGGCATATAGACCCAAAACGTGGTACTTTAAATACGGACGGCCAAGCCGTACATCATATTCATTATGTACAAGCATTAATGCACGCGATGGAGCAGCCGCCTGCGCATTTGTCTACGGAGCAGCACAAGGCGGTATAAGTACTTACGTACGACGTCCACTCAGAACACTTACCTGCATGAAGTGAGTCCTAAAATATTCATTTCTGATTGCATCACTTTTAATTGCAAATATATTTTTTAATGTTTCAAAATTTTAAACGTTAATGTACACTCGGGTACAATAATCTAGTTGATTTGTGTTGAAAGTATGCGCCGCCCATCTACAATTTCTAATAAAAGGCGTCTGGCATTCAAAGCCGGACAACGCTAGGCATTTGAGTTATGCGTAATGCGACAAGCAGCTAAACAATTTTCCGCCACACACTGCATAAGCATAAATTACGCTACGTATTAAGGTCCCGCAAATCTAATTGTATAAAGTCCGTTTAGTCTAAGTAAAGAAATCAGAGTGTCCTTTGTTGTCTGTTCTACCCCTCAATAAAAAATTATTTAGTATATTGTCTGTTTAGTCTGGGCAAGCAAAACGCTTGACAAAAAGGCTATTATATTTCTACCTATTACGTCATAATTGCTGACTGTCGGACCGACTTTCTCGCCCTGTTCACTATTGCTAACTGTATACACAAAAGAAATATAGCAACGTATATAATAAAATTGAAATTGAAACAATAATAAAAAAATAATTAAAAAATGAATGTACGCTATGCTACATTATAAGATAATATTATTATCTTTAAATACAGATAAAAACTACTCTCATTTATTTAATTCATAAATTACACTATATTATATATACACTATTACATTGTGCATTACACTAGTCCATGAACATATTTAATATATATTGTCTCCCTGACCACGGTGGATTTGCAAGACTTTCAACACTAACAACTTGATGTTTGCAGGTCAGTTGTTGCGCGTTTCCGTTGAAAACTCACTTTGCTTTATCGAGCCACTCGGTGTCATCATTTTCAGGCACAAATGCAGTAAATTTCTCTCGATCTGGCGCCTGATCGTTCGTGCGTGAGAATGCGTGAAGGATGAACATTGTGCATCTCTACACTATTATTAATATTTCTACACTGCTTGTGATATGAATTTACGTGTTCTTTTGACTTTCTTTTTGTACAGAAGTACAAAACCACACCCTCACTGACAATGCTGACGATCCTTTTGCAGACTAGGGCAATATTACAGATATAGGGCATTTTGTTGTGCTTTACTATGCGTTGGGGAGGATTCCAAGAGACAGACGCAAAAGAAAATGTGTAGCAATCGTTTTGCCATCATGCTCTTGGTGGCTTTAGTATACACAGGCCAGGACGACTGCAAAATTCTGGCAAGGAGATATCGCCAAGCACCGGCAAAATGGATCGAAGAGAACTCCGCACATGTCCACAGCAAGGCGGCCATCACACTTCAACACCTGGTAATAATATTAAGATATCTTAATCATATTGTCGTATGAGATAAAAGAACAAAATGATAAATAATATGTGATTACTAATGTACTCTGAAGCAAATACGGCTTCTGCACATTCTCGCTACACCACTGTGGAGAAGGTAGGTTCGGGAACAAAGCTTCAGCCTTGTCATCGGGCTCTACATACTCTGCTACAACGTCAGCGGTGGCCGTCGATAACCATTTTCTTCCATACTCTGAGAGAACTTCTCCAGCCTTCTAAAGTTCTTTTTTTCAAGATCATGATCTTTTGTTCTTCCTTGTTCATCCAAATGATTTCCATAAGAATCATGCGGGAAGTATAAGTCCAGATAATTCCCGGCTTAAAGATGCCATTCTCTCTCTCAAAACGGTTGAACGCGCTTCTGCCAGGTGCATTTGTAAATTTTTCATTCCGCATAATTTCCGTGAAATTGTTTGAGAGTCGCAAGAGCATAAGGTCCACAGCATGAGTAGAAGCTGTGGAAGAGGAATGTTTTGCACAGATGGTGAGATGGTGTAATGGACAGGCCCTTTGAAGGCCAGCAAAATGTGATGAGCAAGGCAGTAGGCTGAACACACTCTCGCACAATGTTAAAAACACGATAGCCTGCCTAAGCTATCAGGATTGCTCGAAAGCAATATATATAAGCAAGGTTGGCTACGTAGGTGACTACGAGTTGGCAAACGCTACCTACTTTCCGCGTATTGATCACGTGGAAACTCCTACAACCTCGTGAGCATTTGGCAGTTCGGTGACAACCGCCATCACTATGTTACAAAATTAGCATATATTGATGCGTAGTTGTATTTTATTAACGATTAACGTAATTTATTAAAAGAAGATGCTCGGACGTCGAAGGTCGAGAGACGCGTACGGCGTTGAGCGATGCTGGTGGTCAAGCGCCGCGAGTCACCCAGCATCCTTTGCTGAGCACCCTTAGTGCGGTCTATCGGCGGTGCTCGTGGCTCGTCGGCTTGAGGTGCGGCCTTCCGTTGGGGGTTGTAGGTCGCGGATGTTGTAGGCGTTCCGGACTTCGCCGCTAGTGGGTGCTGAGCCAAGGGCGACTTCAATATTATGAAAAAAGCTCCGGAGATGAGAAAGTCTTATAGTCTTTGTGACACGTTGTGTCATGCCGGGTCACTGGTTGAAAATCTCATCCAAGAACACAACTACTATGTTTTGAATGAATGGCCAATCAAATATACGTAATATTCGTGGAGTGCTTAGTGACAAACGATACCCACTCGTGGGTAGCTGGAAGACGCAGAATGGTGCACGAGCGATCACAGACCTTATTCACGGAGATACCTAAAATCCTTTTAGCCGCACTCCAATGCGAAGTTTGTGTTTTCAAGAAATTGAGAGGCTGCTTTAACAGCGTAGTTTGGCGTCAGGTCTAGCGACAATGGAGTTAGAACATTAGGCAGCCAACCGCTTCCCGATACGGTACACCACAGTATCTTCTTCATCGTCTAACAAAATATTGTCGCTGAGGGTGGAAACTGCGTTAGACTCTCGTGAGACACAACACAAACACTTGACACACAAAACACCCTTGTGAACGCAATCTAATCAGTTTCTGATGATGCTCACAGGGCGAAACATGTAAAACTCGCATACAAGATTAGGTAATTTTCAACCTAATATTACATTCTTTATAATCGATGTGTGCTTTCTGCAAAACGAAGGAAGTCATTATCAATCAATCCATCGCAAGTGATGTTGGTGTGACTGCTAACCACAAGGAAATTTAATTGAGAGCTTTGTTTGCTTTTGATATTGGAAATGAAATCGACGGTCCCAATTGATTCGATGGGTTTATCCGGAGATATCCCATTTATTAAAATGATTTCTTCGTTGTTTGGCTTTAGAGACGTTTGACGGATTTTATCGCTTGAAATAATAGAGGATGCAGCGGCACCCAGTCTACCAAGAATTTAAATTTGGATAATTTTACTATAAGCGGTTAAGTATGGTAGCACGATAAAAGATAAATTATTTCTGTCTGCTAAATTAATTTGGTGCTGTGGTCTGCTAGGAAGTGTCGAAGGTTAAAATATCTAATTGTCCGAGTGCGTGACACTCGCCCTGACTGATTGAGTTTAAATTGCAGTTTGCGTAAAATGAGCTTATGTTGATTATTGCCGTTGATTATTGATCTTGCTTTTAATTTCTGTTGATGTTATTCAATTAATCGACTGTTTATTATTAGCACAAGAAATGAAACGAATAAGATGTTACAGGAAATAACATATATTGAAAAAGAAACTTTAATGTGTATACAATATAAACTTGATGTGCTTACGCTAAGACGGCTTAACGAGTGCAGGCAGCCGCATCCGTCATCCTACAAGGGTGCAAGAAGGGCGGTTACTTGTCCCTAACAAGTGCTACCAACATACATACATTTAAAAATATGGTGGACTTATCTACAACACTTCCTCTAATAACACTATATTTCTGTCTAAGCACGGTCTAATTCCATCAAAGCACGAAGTTTTAAAAACCTTGGTTTCGGAAGCGGTTTGGTTAAGATATCCGCAACCTGCTCCTCTCCTGGCACATGTTCAATCTGGATGAGACCAGAATTTAACTTTTCGCGGATGAAGTGACTTCAATATGCTTGCTTCTTTTGTGGAATTCCGGATTACGCGCCAACTTCACCGCACTTGCGCTATCTGTGTAAAGGACAGGTGGTTGATCTAGCGTTTTTATTTCATTAAATAAAAGGCTCAGCCACACTGCCTCTTTAGTGCCTTCGCATGCAGCTATATATTCTGCCTAGGTAGTTGACAGAGCGACGCATGATTGCTTTTGACAGCACCACGCTGCAGCAAAACGCTGGAGCGGCTGTATGCTCCAGCGTTTTTGGAGATGATGCCGCTTCTCGAACGTCGAGATTGCTTGTCACCCGCGTAGTCGGCATCACTATAGACTTGAATGCTGATGGTCGACGCATTCTTTTGATATCGTAGGCCTAAATTTTCTGTTCCACGGAGATACCTGAAAATCCTTTTAACCGCACTCCAATGCGAAGTTTGCGGTTTCTCAAAAAATTGAGAGGCTGCACTGACAGCGTAGCTGATATCAGGTCTCGTGGCAACAGATAGGAACATAAGGCAGCCAACCGCTTCCCGCTTCTTCATCGTCCAACAAAATACTGTCGCTGGGGGTGGAAACTGCGTTAGTCTCTCCCATAGCGAAACGCTCAAGTACTTTGGTGTAGTTGTGCTGACTTATAAAAATGTAGTCTGAACATTGGTTAACGTTCAAACCTACGGAGCAATTTAATTTGGAAACTTTGATTTTAAAAGTTTTTTCTAGTTCAGGAACTTCTGCACCATTTTACTGTGGTCGGTGGCCACAAGTCCGTCATCTACATATATTGCAATTATTATTACCAACGTTGAGATTCTTTTTATGAATAAACAAGGACCAGCTTGGTTTTTAATAAAACTTGTTTCTCTTGGAATTTAACTCAACGACGGTTTCAGCATCTAGAAGCTTGTTTAAGCCCATGTATGCTGCGCTATGGCTGGACCATATATACTTCCTCGTCCAATTTTCCGTAGAGATACGCAGTTTTTACATCAAACTGCACCAGCTGCAGTTGATCGCATACCGCTA